AAAACCTTTTGCGAGGGAACGCAAAAGAAAAAAAATTCCCCATGTCCCCTGGGGGGCTCCGTAGTTTTGTCCCTATTCTCAAGAATCACTGAAATATATTTCTCCGACTCATCTATTTATTTCCAACTCCCCATTTTCACAATCCGTTATTGAATGCAGTAGTTGCGCCCCCTGCTGGAAAGAGTTAAATCCTATATAAATACAAGCCGTGTAGAAATTGGTTAGTTTGAGCAAATCTTTGAGGGTTGCGGTCAATCAAAAGGCAGGAAGTTCCTGGAGGATTTATGATAATAAAGAGCTAACCACGCCCCTTTAGCGCGTGAAACAAAAGGTCCAGTGGACTCACGATAAGCTATCTGCTAGCTCCGGTTAGCCTGTCTCTGCACCCGAAAGGGAGAGGATGGAAACTCTGAAAGACTTGGTAAGGGGAGTGAAGGTGGACAGCCAGGCAGCGGTTCTGTTGACCTCTGCTGCCTGCGGGGTGGGTGCCCTGCTAATGGTGATGCGCACCGTTAGCGAGCACCAAACAGTGAACGACAAGATCCAAAGAGCCAGGAGCAGGAGGACCGAGAACCTGCAGCGAGCTGAGCAGGAGGTGCTCCGGTACAAACAGTCGGTAAGAGGTCGGGATCGGAATGTATGAAACATGTGGAAGCACATTTAATTTATTAATAATTTTCTTCTGATTCGCATATATTAGAAGGATATACAACTGGCACTTGTTGTCAGACTGCATGTGCACACTTTGAACCCTGATGTTGCAATCTGTCATCGACAGTGGGAGACTTCTAATTTTTGAAAACACAAATCTGTGAATATCAGACATAGTGACTCCAGGGGACGCTAAAATAATTACACTGCTGGGTTAAAATAACTTTCTTCCTTATAAATTTTTTTAGGATTTTTTTTTTGGGAGGAGGCCTGAGGGGGTTACACTTAAATTGTTCAGCTTACTAAGCAAACTTTTTATATCAGATGAGGATAACCTGAGAAGATAAAGCTATTTTCAAATCATGATTTCACTGAGGAGGGGAAAAACTAAAGCAACCTGGCCTTATTTGAAAATATAACTCGCACATTCTTACACACACAGATATAAATCACATATCTTATATCTGTGATTTATGACATTTTTCGGATTCAATTTGACCAGCAACACCCAGACTGTATTACTGCCCAGCCAGTAATACAGTCGGATTTTAATGAATTACTTCCAGCAATGTCCTTCTCTGGATGTCAGTCATTCATTAATGAATTATGTCATTTGCTGGGTCTCTTTTTGAGTTAAAAACTTTTTAAAGTTGACAGGAAATTTGAAGATTTCACTTGATAATTACGTGTTATTACCTAAACAGCAACTAAATAATCTTAAAAAATGGAAACATTTTAAAAAGACTTAAATAAATAACCAATGCTTAGCCTGGTGGGGGCACAAGTAAAGCCTGGTGGCCCACCAGGTTTATAATGCACTCGGGGAGACCCTGAACTTTAAAACCAACTTAAAAAATATGTGTATAACTTTTCCAAGCTCACAGAAAATATAATCAGCCCATTTGTGCTGCTTCTCTTCTAGCATCCATCCTGTGACTCTGGCGCCATACTGTCACTGTCGTTGTCTGAGTTGACAAAGCAGCTGCGGGAAGGTTCACTGTGCCCGGAGGATGTGTTTTACTCCTACATGCAAAAGGTCCAGTCTCCATTCTGACATTTTTACCATCCCAGACTCTTTAACAAAAACCCCTCTTGCAATGTGATCATTATATTTTCAGTATCTGAATGCAGGTTGAATTCAAACAGCTTCTTTTCAAACAGGCTCTGGCTGTGCACAAGGAGCTGAACTGCTGCACAGAAATTTTGCTGGAGAGTTTCGACCAGCTGAGAACAATTGGCTCCAACAAGGACGGGCTGCTGTATGGCGTTCCTATCAGCATCAAAGACAATGTTTCATATAAGGTAGACAGCTGGCAGAATTTCACTGTGGTGATCTTTCTTTATTGTCTGGATAAAGATGAGATTTATTGCGTTGATGTGCCACTATCTGACTCAGTCCTGTGTTCTTTCTACTTATTATCTCCCTACTACAAAGAACTACGACTGCACGTGTGGCATAATCATGAATCTGAGCCAGCCAGCCAAGAAGGATAGTGTGATTGTGGAAGTACTGAAGAAACAAGGAGCCATTCCTTTCACAAAAACCAACCTGCCACAAGCACTATTAAAGTAACTTAAAACTGTAGCATTGTTGTGACACACACATTGCGCAACCACATAAATAGATCTTATGTCCTTAGTATTTATAGTTGAATCAGATTTATGACACAACGCATGACAAGCACATAACCTTTACTTTCTCACTGTATGCTGTTAAATTGGACGTCATGCACAATTGTTTTAAGTTCTTCATAACTATTTGCTAGATGTTGGATTGAGGGAATTTTAGAGATTTTTTTATTGTCTTTAAATTAAGATGTTGGCATGCATCTTTTTGTATGTCCTTTTTTGTAGGTTTTTTTTTTAATCTGTATGACTTAGATCAGACATTTTGGGTTTTCTTCCGGAAGCTTCTCACAATATTTTGCTGCACTTTTGCTCTGTCCCTCCTGACAGAACTGGTACAATGGAGTTACGTTTGTAACGTTGCTCACGCACCTTTTAATTCTGCCAACAAATTATCTCTTGAACTA